TTTTACCCTCTCCTCAAAGCAGTTCTATTCCCTGCCCTGCTCCCTATTGTCACAGCCACCAAAGGGATGCTTCTAAGGAACTACAGTAACCAGAGGATTATGCAAACATGCAAATCTACTAAAGCAGTGTTTACCCAGGGCTGTGTGATGCTGTCTGTGCTCAGCAGCTGGGCCTCGCTGCCTTCCGAGAAGATTCCTTCGGTGTCATCACAACCTCTAGTGGACAATAGCGAACACCGCGGCTCAAAGTCCTTTGTTCCAGCTCTCATCTACCCAGCCCGTGAAGTTCAGGGCAGAGCAGGGAGGACAGGCAGGTCCGACAGATTCTCTTTTTTTTTTGAGCGTGAGCATGTGCACCTGCCTACTTTCTCCTCCCACTCGCTCCTCTGTTTCCTCTCTCCAATTCCGCGGGGGTGTGATGTGTTCTGAGAGTGAAGCCTTCAGGATTTTCCCTATCCTACTGTAGAAATTTCTCCTCTGGCTGCTGGTACCTGTCACATCCCCTTCAGGGCCAGCTCAAACGCTACCTGCTCCAGGAAGCCTTCACTGACCACCCCTGGTGAGAATTAAACACATCCACGTGAGGTCCCATAGATCTCCGATATACCCCCCGCCCCCTAAAGCACTCACCACATGGCATGGATGGTAGTAGTTTACCTGCAGATGTCTCTTGCTAGGCTGCCATTACCGGGGCAGGAGCCTTATCATATTATAATTCTCCAGCACCCAACACAAGGTCTACCGCATGCATAGTGCTATAGATCGAATGTCTGTGTCCCCCCAAATCAATATGTTGATGGCCTTATCCCCAATGTAATGACATTTGGAGGTGAAGCCTTTGGGACTTAATTAGATTAAAATGAAGTCATAAAGATAGGGCCTCCATGATAAGGATTAGTTCACTTCTAAGATGAGGAGACCAGGGCTCTCTGTCCCTATTGGCCATATGAGAATTTAGCTAGGAAGTGGCTGTCTGCAAAGCAGAAAGAGAGATGACAGACGCTCACCAGATACTGAGTCTGCTGGCGCTCTGAGCTTGGACTTTCCAGCCTCCAGAAATGTGAGAAATAAATTTCTGTTGTTTAAACCACCCTATCTAAGGCATTTTTGTTATAGCAGGCTGAACTAAGACACATAGGAAGTGCTCAGTAAATTCAAATGAATGAATGAAAGGGCAAATGTCTTCTTCCGGAAGACTTGCTTCTTATGTCTTATTTCCAACCATTAACCTGCTATCCTGCATCTGCTCGATCTCCAGTACCAGGAACTCTGATTCCTGATGGTAATATTGAGGTTCAAAAAGAAACAGCATGAGAGTTTGGACAGGAAGGGTGTCTGTACCAGGCAATGTCAAATTCTCATCTGCCAAAGATGAGAATATAGGTAACTGGAGCTACTCATTATCCCCCTTCCACCCCTTTCTACTTTAGCCTGAATTATCCCAATATTGACACTAACATCTGCTTCATGCCAATCGCAGAGATTTGTTTTCTTGGTGTTTACTAATAGGAGCAGTTTGCCCTTTGGAAAGCAGGGAAAGAAAACACTACTTGAGCACCTACTCTGTGCCAGCTGCTTTTACATGCATTATGTAATCCCTGCAACCATCCTTCCAGGCTGGTATCATCAGTCCTCCTTCCCCTGCCCCCACTCCTTAGATGGTGAAATGGAAGTTGAGATAAAATAGTTCTGCTGAAGGCCATGCATTAACAGACAGTGGATCTGGCCTCTGGACCCAGGTCACTCTAATTATGGAGCTACACTTATTTTCCTGGACTTTATAAATCTCATTCCAGTGCCCAGCTCAGTCAAACTCCCCAGAACAGCCTTGCCACAGTCTCTTGGATGTTTTGCAGTTTGACTTCATGAAGGAAACCACAAAAATACAAAAAGGGCAGTTGGATTGACACTTTCCTTGGAGCATTCTCCTGGCTTTTTACCTTTTCTTTCTCTTTTTCACTGCGTGTGTCAAGAGTGACCAATAATTTTTCTTTGAGAAACAGGAATCAAATGTAGTAAGCAGAAAGAGGGAGGGGAGAGATGATGGCAAGGCCTCCAGGCTGAGAAGAGCTCCATTCTGCTGACCTTTGGTGTTGCACACACCTGGTTATTCCACAGGTCAGAATTCCCCTCTCTTCTGCCCTTAGTGGCCAATTACAGCTTGGAGCGCCCCTAGTGGAGGTCTGCACAGTGGGTATATTGGAGAAATTGTCTCTGGACAGTATAGGAGGGCCAGTAAATCGAGCCCGTTTGAACAGCTTGCAGGAATGGACTTGTAAGCAAAAATAAGAAAACAAGCCACTCTGATCAGAAAATATCCTTTTGCCTTGGAAGGGGAAGAAAAGGAATGTAACATTATTTTCCTAATACCCAACTGAGCCACATGAACACAAGATGAATCCCTCAAGCTTAGGTAAGGTGGCCCCTGGCAGGAACGGGCAAAAGTCTACGGAAAATAATGCCAATCCGTAATGAAAATAGTCTTTAAGTGAATCTAACAACAACACACGTTAGAGACTGGGGAAGCAGCAAATCTGAGTCTTATTGAGCAATACTGAATTTGCCTTATTAATTCAAGAGAAAAAGAAAAGAAATTATACTTAGACTCTGCAGTCTTAGCACGCAGCTACAATTATTCCCCATGTGCATATCTTAGACAATAAGGAGTCTCTTCAAAAACAAGTTATACTTTATACTTATTCATGCCTTACAGCGAAATGGCCCAGAGAACCACGTGACCTGCATAAGAATGTAGCAACAAGTCCCTTTTGAGTATTTACAAATCCCCTCACTCCACCACAAACAGAAGAACTAGTTTGCAACAACGAGTTAGGTGAATGGTTCTCCATCTGAGTGGATGTTGGGCTTTATATTAAAAACAGAACTTATCGTGGAAGGTCAATTGTCTCCAAATGCACCACCAGACTCGGCAATGCTCATTGGCCAATCTCACTCCTTCCTTATGACTCAGAATCAGAACCACACAGTTATTAATGAGCTTTCTGAAGTAGCACATCACTTGACTTTAATTTGGTGGTGACCTGAAGTTAATTTTAAAAATATGCTGGCTAGCCATAGTGTTGAGCAGTTGGAACAATAGTATGAAATGTCTTAAAAATTAAACACACGCATGTATCCCCCTGCTTTTACAATGTGTTTGAAGCCAGTGAAGGAAACAGAATAGGAAATCCTTGTCTTAGATGACAATTCAATACGTGCCATTAAGACAATTTTTTTTTCCCCTGCAAGGTGGTGTATTGGAGAGTGGAGTCCTCAAAGGCAGAGCTGCTTTAGAAAATCCAGTAAGCTGCTGTGTAGCTTCAGGCTCTTTTTATATGTGTGTTAGTCACAACACAGATTCAAAAGGGGGTGGGGGAGGGAAAGCTGGACTCAGTTCAAGGCCACCAAGCCATTGTTAGAAAGAGACAGCTAATTAAGAAAGGCCATGCTGTGGTGGAAACGATGTGTTTAAACCAAATCTCTTTCCCTATCTTTCCCAGAGAAATTGTCCAGACCTGGTGTAAACTGTGGATATCATGGCCTCATAAAAAAAGGGGAGGGGGTTCTTCAATGATATGCTTTGTTAAACAAAAGGTGATGAATAATTTCCTTTGCTCTGCACTCCGGGCTCTACATTTAAAAAGACGGGGAGATGGGGGATAAAATGCCTGATTTATGCTGAGGGGGGCACTCCAGGCCACCGGGAAAGGTTGAAGGGAAAGGAACCCAGAGCCAGGGCCCATGGAGCGGAGAGCTGTCCAGGGCCTTTGGTGCTGAAAGCAGGTGTGTGCGCGCTAGGGGTCCAGAACTGCCCGGGAAAGAACACCGCCAGTCCCCCAACTCTGAGTCAAGACGGTGCAAATGACAGAGGCGGTGCCCCAGATGAGCACAGTGCCCGCTCTCTCTCTGTCTTCAGCCTGGGCAGACCCTGCAGCTGCCTGCTTTTTTACACGTGAGGAGCGCATTTCTGGGAACTAGAGTTAGACCTTGCAAGAAGGCCGGGTCCGGTGGCCAACTAACGCTCCCATTGACTTTCGGGTCTCCAAGGTGCCTGAGAAAACCCCCGAAGCTCTGAGGGTTAGCTTTGGGTGAGTTAGGCGTTGCACCCCTCTCTCTATCTGGCCCTCTCCCCGACCCATAACTTTTCCTGGGGTACCTTACCGGGGTGGACAGAGGGTATGGCTCCAGGTCTGAGAAGGAGGAGCTGTCATTCTCTGCTAAACTTGGGCCCCTCTTCCCATTCAGCAAACACGTGGTAGGTGAAACTAACACCCCCCACCCCCATTCCTAACAGTGATCAGAGATGCTAGGCTGTCGGGAAGAGAGTAGAGGGGAGTCCGTTCAGGTTCCCAACTGCTAACTAATATCTCTTCTCCCTCTCCTACCAAGTTCTCAGAGTCCTCAACCCCCTCCACCGGCCTCTGGCGAAAGCCACACCCAAGTCCGGTATCCTGACGCTTGGCTGAGATCAATCCAGGAACACAGCCCCTCGGGGCAGCCTGAACCAAAGGAGTCAAGGGTTTCTGAGGTGTCGTAGGGGAGCGGCAAATGCACTGTTTGAGTCTAGTCCTCAGTTGCAGGGTGGGTCAGCTGCTCACCCCCCTTCCTGTCCTCTCCCCGAGAGGAAGAGAATTATCTGGCACCCAGCCCCGGGTGCGGTTGCAGAGAAGCTCCGGGAATTTGGGGTTTGGAGGCGACCCCACTCCAAGGAGATCCTCTTTGGCTGCAAAGGAGAATCAGCCTCACAGCCGGGGAAGACCGAAAGGGAGCCCGCAGCCGAAGCAGGGAAGCGCCCGAGTCCTTCAACACATCCCCACCTCCACACTCCCATCAGCCCGGGCCAAGGGGACGCGCGGTTCCTAGCCCCGAATTTGGGCAGCCACCACCGCTCCCCATCCCGGCGGGTGGCGCCTGAGTCGCCTTGGTCAGCCCCGACCCCTGGCCGCCCCGCTCCCCCGGCAACTTTGCCCCCTGCCCGCCCCGCCCCTCGGGGCGCTTACCTCTTTCCAGCGCTGCCGCCGGGCTCCCCAGGAGCAGAGCGAGGAACAGCGAGATCCCGCCGAGTCCCGCGGCTGGCGGCCGGGCCGCGGGCATCGTGGCTGCAGGGGGCGCGGAGCCGCGGGCTGCGGGGCGGGCGGACGGCGCGGGAGCCGGGAAAGGAAGGCAGCGGTGAGCTAGGAAGGGGAGGCGGGAGCGAGGGAGGGGGCCGCGGGCCGGGGCAGCTTCCGGAGCCCCCCGAGCGGACGCGCGCTCAGCCCCGCGGTCGCTCTGGCCGAGCTGCGCCGGGCGCGGGCGGGCGAGTGAGGAGGAGCCGGCGAGCGAGCGAACGAGCGTGGAGCGAGCGGGAGGAGGGAGGGGGCTGGGGCCGAGTCTGTGCCGAGCGAGTGCAGGGAGGGAGGGGGCGGGCGAGCGGGCAGCTAGCTGGAGGGGCCGCGGCGGCGCCGGGGGTGCCAGCCGCCTCCTCTGGCCGCCGGCCCGTCGGCCCTGCAAAGTTTAAAGCCAATTCCCTTTGCGTCCTGGGAGCCGAGCGTTTTCTCTCTCTGCTGACACTCCCAGCAGCCCTGCCTGGCCAGGCCAGGCTGGAGAGCACCCGGACCATTTTCCAGACGGTGAGATGGAGGCCTGGAAACCGAGCTTATGAGCAGCCCGGAGCTTTCCATTGCCTGCTCAGCCTTCCAGATACATCCCAATTCCAGTTCTCTCCAGGCCCCTCTGGGATCCAGCCAGCCTGCTTCCCCGCCAGGGCCCCGCTGCTTCCAAAGTGAGTCCCCATAACCTAGAAAGTCTGTAACTCTGTGGATCCGGTGAGATCTGTGAATCTACTAGAGCACTACACATAGCCACAAAATTGTGGCTGCAACCTAACAGGAGGGGTCTGGACCCCTCTGAAGCCCAATCACGAACTCTAAATTAAGATCCATCTCTACTTTTTAATCTGAGCCCGGTCTCCCATAACCCCACTGCCGGCAGGCCACTAGAGCTGAGAGGCTTCCTCTCAGGTCAGCCCCTTACCTCTTCCTGTACCTGCTTCCCCAGCTGAACAGGACTGCAAGGCCCACCTCGGCCGCACTCTTGCCCAGGCCTGATTCTCAAGCAACGTGTCTTTTCTCCACAAACAGAGATAGTGAGGGACAATCAATGAGGGAGACAAGCAGATACTTGGGGACAGACGTTGGCGGAGAGCTAGGTGGGGACAAGCTTCTGCATCGTCCTGGAGACTGACTGTCCCTCCCCGCCTAGCCTTGGCAGACCGGTCAGGCTTTGCAGGCCTCTCACCCAATTTAGAAGCTGTCCTCCTCCCACTACCCTACCTTGCCATACTATCTACACACTGCAGGCTGAACAGGCAGAGAGAGCAGATGGAGAGAAGGTTGCAGGCAGCAACAGGGGGAGGAATATGTCTTTAGCAGCGTGGTGGAGCCGGGAGTCCCTAGAAAGAATGGGTGGGGGAGGTGAACACTGGATGGAGGAGGAAAGGCGGGGGCACTCTGGCCCAGGGTTTCAGAAGACTCTCCACACCCAGAGCTTCCCCATTTACTCTTTGAAACAATGCTCTTTTACAGGCCACTCACTATAGGCCCAGACCTGCCTCAGGCTTTGGGGGACAGAGAATCCCCCATAAAATCCTATCCTTGGCTGCAAGAGGTTTCCATTCCTGGCAGTAAACCTAACTGGTTTTTATAAAGGTGGCTGAGGCAGGGGTGCAGGAGGGCTGATTTCTCCTTTGGAGAAGATGAAGCACTCTATGCTTTACTGTATGAAGCTGCCAGCTCTCTGTGGAGTGACCTTGCCTGTTTGTTTGTGGCTGTACACTCAGGCTCTGTATAGTATAGTGCTAGCATGCAGTGGATGCTCAGTGAGACTTGTTCAATGGAAGCATAAAGAAGCAAGGAAGATGGAGGAAGAGGTGAAAGGGAAGAAAGTGAGTGAGAGAAAAAAAAAGAGATAGGTTAGCTCCATACTTGGAGGCAAGGAAACTATTTTTAATTCTTAGGTTCAGGGGTACGTGTGCAGGTTTGTTATGTGTGCAAACTTGTGTCATGGGAGTTTGTTGTACAGATGATTTCATCACCTAGGTATTAAGCCTAGTACTCAATAGTTATTTTTTTCTGATCCTCTCCCTCCTCCTGCCGTCCACTCTCTAGTAGGCCCCTATGTGTATTGTTCCCCTCTATGTGTCTGTGTGCTCTCATCATTTAGCTCCCATCTATAAGTGAGAACTTGTGATATTTGGTTTTCTGTTCCTGCATTAGTGTGCTGAGGATACTGGTCTTCAGTTCCATTCATGTTTTTGCAAAGAACGTGCTCTCATTCTTTTTTATGGCTGCATAGTATTCCATGGTGTATATGTACCATATGTATATTCTCATTCATTGATGAGCATTTAGGTTAATTCCACATCTCTGCTCTTGTGAATAATGCTGCAATGAACATACGTGTGCATGTGTCTTTATAATGGGATAATTTATATTCCTTTGGGTATATACCCAGTAATGTCAGACAACCTACAGAATGGGAGAAAATTTTTGCAAACTATGCATCTGCAAAGGTCTAATATCCAGCATCTATAAGGAACTTAAACAAATTTACAAGAAAATAAAACCAAACAACCCAACTGAAAAGGAAACTATTGTATAAAGAATCCACTGTTTGCCAGGTGCTGTCCCACACTGAGCACGGTCTCTCATTTCAATTTCATAATCATCCTGATAATGAGGTGTGGTTATTGCCATCTGACAGATAAGTATCTGATTTTTTGTGGAGGGTCCCAACCCAGCCAAGGTCACTCAGTCAGGCAGCAGTGGGATTTGGCAGATTCAAGGCCAGCCCCGATTACAGAGTCAGAACTTTCACAGGCTACTTCCCAGAAATTTGGTGGCTGCCTCTGTACTATGATTTGGTTGCTACCTCCTGAAGCTTCAACCCCTCCTCACTACCAGAAGGGCCATAATCACTAAAAGTCCATCACTGGGGTTACTCACTTTGGTAAGTACATTGAACTTCTAGAGCATTGCTTGCATGCAGGTGTCTTATGTAGAAGAAATGACACTGTAAACCATGAACCCACGGAACATATGGGCAGAGATTTACCCATTCCATTTGCTGGCTGAAACAAGGCACAGAGAAAAGTCTTCAGAAAATGGGACACAGACCCGATTATCTGAGATTGTGATGTTGGGAAGGTAAAGTGATTATTTAGGAGCAATATCAAGACTATTTTTGGAAGAAGAAATAGCATAATAGAAATAGAATTCTGAAAGGGACTAGAACAGTTTGCAGATGAAAATCTGCAATCACAATTTTGATAGCCATTTTACAGATGAGAAAACTGAGGTCCAGGGAGGCAAAGTAACTTGCTCGATATCATACACTTCGTTTACATTTTACCTTTTACTCTTTCCATGGCAGTGACGTTTGTGGTCTAACAGGGCACTTCCTGCCTAGATTCTAGTGTCAGGGTGAGCTTCCTGCTACCCAAAGCTGCTGGGGAGATAATTTTAGTTTCTCTGCTGATTAGATGATGTGTGCCTACAATTCTATTCACCTTATATTTTGTCATGTGATAAACAGGGCATCAGCTCTTATGTGGTTAAAATTAGTACAATAGTGACAAAGGGTTATATCCTAGCCTCACCTCTTCCTTATAGGATGACAAGGGCAAGTTACTTAACTTCTCTGAGCTTTATTTTCCTCTTCTGAGAAGTAGGGATAAAAATAACACTTATCACATGGAGTGATCGACATAAATGGATAATAATATCCTCGTGGATGAGGGGGTATTATGGCACTTGTTTCCTAGGGTTATAGAGAAGATCCCATGAACTGATGGACTAAAGACTAGTGTTGTGTGATACTAAGTGAGTCACCAGTCTCTCTGGGACTCTGTTTCCCTATTCATCTACCCACCTATCTACACACCCACCTATTTATCCCTATATTCATTAGCCCATGCATCCATCCAACAATTCATCTATCCCTCTACCTACCCTTCCTTCTTTCCTCCCTTTCTTTTCTTCTTTCCTTCCTCCCTTCCATTCATCCATTCATCCACCCGTCCATCCACTCAACCACCCACCCACTCACCCATCTGTCCATCTATCTACAAATACTGTTTGAGAATTTACTATTTATTGAATGGCTACCATGTGGCAAACAGTGCTGAGTGCTGTGGACGCAACAGACTCTGTCTCTGGCTCTCCAGGGCTGACAGTCTAGTGAAGTCTGGCAACACAAGGGCCCAGATCGCTTCCAAAATTAATGCTGTATGCCAGGGGAGGCAGTTTAGCAGAGTGGTTAAAAGCCTGGGCCTTCAAACCCAACCAGCCTCAATTTGAATGGTTGATCTGCTACTAAGTAACAGTGCTATGATTTTGAACAACTGAATTAAACTTCCAGTAATGATTTCAACAAAAGGCTATCATTTAGCAATCAATGACACAATCATTATAAAGCACTTAGGATAGTGCCTATGTCAGGCACTGTCCTGGGCACTGACGATACAGCAGTGAACAAGACAAAGTTCTTGCTCTCTGGAGCCTATTTTGTACAGATGAGAAATAGACCATAAAGTCATTAATAAACGGGAATTTGAGAGAGCTCTAATTCGATGAGGAAGATAAAGCAAGGTGATTTGAGAGTAAAAGAGGCAAGTTCTTTTTGAATGATCAGGGATGGGTTCCTAGAATAGGAGACATTCAAGTAGAGAAAGGAACAATGAGACAGACACCAAGCGCAGATTGCAGCACATTCCTGGTGGAGAACACAGCCAGTGCAAGGTCCTGAGGCTAAAACAGGGTCATTGCAATTAATGGAAGTCATTGTCATCGTGTGTGTGATCCCATGTCTTTGCCTACTCAGATCATGATTAATCAGGGACGTGATTTCGAGGTCATCAGACAGCCTGTGCTCAGTGACTACTGCCTCTATCAATGTACATTTATTCACACCCCCGCCCTGCCAAACCTTGCAGCGTGTATCTCCCTTAGGAACATCTGGTTGATGGGAAGATTTTAATCACTGAGAGAAAAAAAGAGAAAAATATTTTGCCTTAGGGTAAAAATGAAATACAAAAAAAAAGACATCTTAAAAGATAAGAAGAAAAAAAAGATAAGAAAAAAATTGAAAGAAAAAAAAGTCCCAGCAATAGTATGTCTCAGGAGACAAACCCACCGTGGATCTTTCAAGGGAAGGCAGAGGATCCAACTAGTGTCTCCATAATCTATTTTCAATTTGGTCCTTGTAACTTGCAGATGGGCCTGTGCAGCGTCATTCAGGAAGCCCGTGGTACTCACATCACTTTGGCCAGATGCTAACAAGAAAATGATCCACTGTGACGCAGCTGACCCCATCCAGTGCATCCACATTACCTGGAAAGAAGCAATTATGCCCCTTTGGTTTCCTTGGAAATGCTCGGTCTGTCTGTACCATCCTCCCTGGCTCTTGAGCAGAGCTTTGACAGGGAAACAGTGCGTTTATTTTCAAACTGAAAGTTTACAGAATACAAAGTGAGCCTATAAGATGGATGGCCATTCTCCAGAGGCTTGTTGGCCAGACAGGAAGGAAAACCAGTGCACCATCAGGAACGTGGAGGAGACTGAAAGAGAGGGACAAACATATTGGATTGGATCGGGCCCCCACAGTCAAGTTCCTGCAAACCCAGCTGGGATATTTTCCTGACTAAGGGTTATGGTCTTGGGCCTCAAAGGTGAGAAGAAAAATCAATTAAAGATACTGTGTATATTTATACACTCTGTTGGCATTAGAAACTGTAACACGTACATTTTTCAGTCCATAAAGAACAGGCTGCATCAGCACAGCGACACACATCTACGGGTTTGTCTAAGACTGTTGTGTTTGGGGACCCCACAAGTCCATGTGCCCTTTGGAATCAGCAGGTTTATTTGGAGTCAGACGTATCAGAGCTCTCTCCTATGTGAGTAACTTTTAAAAGTCGATTTACGTGTCGTTTAAGGTGAAGAATATTAGTAACTAGTTCCTAGGGTTGTTATGGGAGTAAAAGAGGGGATGCATGTTCAGTGCTGAACTGATTACCCAGCCTGTAGTAGGTGCTCAATAAACAGGAGCAATGATTAAGGATTATATAAATTGTACATGAAAAACGGAACCCAAATACTAGAAAAATCTCTTCTCTCATAGGGTTCATTAGGTGTCTTCATGGATGTCTAGAACCAGAGGAAAGTCCAGCTGGGGTTAAGGGTGCAGAATAAGTAAAACTTCCAAACCCATCAGGGGCTTGGTCAATCTGACCCATTTTTTTGTGTGAGCCTCCTCACTCAAAATTAACTGAGGCAGCACTGTTCTGTTCAATTACAGGAACATTCTCCAGCCCTTCGACTTCCTCTCAAGTCTCACCACTCTCTTAATATGGAATATTGAAAAGGCCAGACTGGGTCAGGTCCCTACTGATCAATAGCTTGTCCTTTCTCTCAGCTCCCCAGTCAAAGCCCAGCCTCTGTGCCAGGGAGGACACAAGAGGACAGACACAGCCTCTGTGTCAGGAGGAGGGAAGAAGGACTAATGTCTGCGGACCCTCCGAGGCTCACAGGGAGAAGCCACACACTCACAGCACCAGGTCTGTGGTTTTTCATGACCCCACACTGTCCCCTAGAAGGAAGTACCATCCAGCAGAAACAGAAGCCAAGGAATTTCCCCGTAGAGATCATGGCATGGGCTTGAGCTCAATGGACAGTGGGCGGAAATTGGAAAGCGCAGAGCCTCCACCACTAAGTCCTGTGTGACTTCTGTAAGTCCCTTGTCCACTCTGATCCTTAAATCACCCATATGAAAAATTAGGAAAAATGATCTCTCAGTTCTGAAATTCAATAATTCTGTGATGTCAGCAACTGGACCCAAGAGATGATGAGTTCTACTATGGTTGTCTTGATGAAAGTAAAAGCTGACTTTTTTTAAGCAGCTGCTTAGAGTTTACCACTTGATATTTCATGTAATCCTTACAACCACTCTAGAAGGTTAGTATTATTATAACCCAAACTCCTACCTTATCCTATAGGACCCGTCTGAACTGGTCTCTCCTCCCTATTTGGCCTTATCTCGTACCTCCTCTTATAAAGCCCCAGCTGCCAGGATTCTAATCTTAGATCTTTCCAGGACTTTCCTCTTGCTGCGCCCCTGCCTGGAAGGCCTTTCCTTCTGATATATAAGCAGCTGGCTCCTTCTCCTCTTTCTGTGGCCGGCTAGACTGGCATCTCATCAGAGAGAACAACCTTGGCTTTAAATCTTTCTTAGCCTATATCACTATCTACAATGATCTCTCTTATTTATGTGTTTGCAGGTATATTATCTCTGTTCTCCCACTTGACTTTAAGCTCAATGAATGCCAGGACCCTTAAAACAAAGCACATAGCAAGTTTTCAGTGAAGTCTTGTTAATTTTCAAATGAAGGAATAAATGAACGACTATATTTCCACTTCGCAGATGAGTAAACAGAGGCTCGGAGGGGTGATGAAATTTGCCAACATCACCGATCAGTAAGTATGACAGAAGTAGGACTGGAACCCAGGGCTGTCTGACCTCTGGCTTGAGTCTATAACCACTTGGCCATACTGCCTTTCAGTTCCAGGAACAGGTGATGCTTCCTGGCAGTGAGATTCTAAACCAGCGGGAGTTCCCAGCCAGAGACATGATCTAAGTGCCAATGGCTGAATGTCTGTGAGCATTTGAAGTCATTGTAAGAACAGGCAACGTTAGCGGCACCATTAAAGCCTGCTGTTCCTCCAGCCCATCACTGCCATCCCCACCTATTAAAATAATGGTATGAAAAATAAACAGCCTTTATGGACAATTTTATACAGTGCACGCATTGTTTGTTTCTCTTACTGTTTCCATGGCAGTGACGTTTGTTCTCAGGATAACTTCAGGTTTCTGCATGATGGAAGGGAATGGAATAAAATTACTTGAGAGGAAATTGCCAAGCACAGACTTTTTCTTCTTCAGATGCCCCACACCCCAGCACTTAACAGCAGCCACACCCTGAAGTCTTAAGCACAGGATAAAGGCTTCCCCTTAACCTACAGCCTTCCATGGCTCCCCAGTTCCCATAATATGAACCCCATGGATCTAAGCCTGGCTGTAAGACCTTTGCTACCTGGCTTCCTCTCCTACCCTTTCTCTCTTTGCTATATAGCCCTGCCTATAGGCAATTTCCCTCCTCATTTTGTCCCTTCTCCCTAGAATTTTTTCACCAACCCACGTTTGTTCATGCTGTTCAGGGTACCTGGGCTATCCACCTTCCCCCAACCTCTCTACCAGAGAAAACTGCTATTCATTTTTCCACGTTGTACTTTAGGTGTGACCCTGCACCCGCTTCTTTCCCATGCGTTCCTGCATTTGGGTGATGTTTCTTTCCTCACCGCTTCTGTGGCTTTCTCAAGCATTGCGTTTATTCACTGTATGGCCACCCAGACTTCAAGCTGCTTGAGGGCAGGAACAGTGCTTATTCAGTGTCTAACAATGTTCCAGGAACATAGTAGATGCTTAACAAATGCTTGTGGAACCAAATTTGAAAAACAATAATAATCTGGTGGTCTGTGAGTCTGCCCAAGGAAATGGTGTCTGGGTATATCTCCTTCTTTAGGAATAAATATGGAAGATTAAATCAAAGCCCTAGACAGTGCTTCTCAACTTTGGCTGCACTTTGGAATCATCCATGGAGCTTTTAGAAATTCGGATGTCTAGGTTGCACCCTGAGTTAATCATGTGAGATTCTCTGGGTGAGGGCCCAGGGATCTGTATTTTTTTAAAGTCCCTGAGGTGATTCCAGTGTTCAGCTGGGACTAAGAGCCACTGTGCAGAAAGTTCCTGTTCAGAACCCTAACCAGGGCTTTGCATGAAGGTTGCAGAGACCAGGGGTCTCCTCAGGGGCTGAGTTCACCGCAGAGTCCAAGAACCCAGAGCCAGGACAGAGCTGATCCCCAAACCTGGTTAGAGTGATAACAACAGCATAGAATGTTGACTAAGCACTGCTTATGTGCTTGGCACATGCCAGCGTGCCTTCCGTAAACCACATCATGATCCTCAATTTAACCTGTAAGTTGGTATTATTCAGTTGAGAATGAAAGAGTGGTAGATTGCCCAAGTTCACCTGTCCAGGCAATGGCAGAGACGGAGTTTGAACCCAGGTGAACCCAGGTTCATCTATATCCCAAATCCATGCCCTGCACCATTTCTTGAATGTAGGCAGGCTAGGGCAGCAGGGAGGAGCTGCAGATGTTAGAGGAGCTATACCCTAGCCACCTGGGTCAAAGTCACTAACCCACTGCAGAGGGCCCACAGTTCTACCTGCTTCTCTCCAGCGAGGGTTATACACTCCCCTCCCTTCTAGTGGACCGCTTTCCTGTTCTCTCTCCCTCCCTCCTTCCCTCTACTTCCTCTCCTCTTCTTCCTCCATCTCCCCCTTTCTTTCTTCCTCTCTCTCTCTTTCTCTTTTCTCTCTTTTCTTATCTCTTTCTACTTTCTCTCTCCCTCTTTGCTCTCTCTCCCTCTTTCCATCTCTCCTCTTCTCTTTCCTCCCTCTCTCTTCCACTATCTCTTACTTCCCTTCCTCCCTCTTTCCTTTCTCTTCCCCTCTCTTTCTCTTTTCTCTCTCCCTCTGTCTGTCTCTCACCTCTCTCTCCCTTTATATCTCTCTCTCCTCTCTCCCTCTCTTTCTCTTCTCTCTCCACCATCTCTCTTTTCTCTATCTCTCTCTTCCTCCTCTTTCTCCTTTCTCTCCCTCTCTCCTCCCCTCCTTCCTCTTTCTCTCTCTCACTTTCCTCTCCCTCTTCTCCCTCCCTTTCCTCTTTCTCTTCCTCTCCCCACTTTTCCCTTTCCCTCTCTGTCTCTCCCCACCTCTCCCCATCTCTGTTGGATGCCCCTAATTAGAGCAGTCTGGGTCAGGGTCTGGTGATCTGAAGGTCCAAAAACCTCTGAGGCCTCAGCCTTAGCAGTTCCCAGGACCTGAGGGAGAAGGGGCTCTGCCTGGGGCCTCTGGGATGCAACAGCCTCAGGGTGACAGCTCGGGATTGGAGGGTGAGTGCTGATGCTCCCCACACACCCAGAACTGACTTGGCATCTGAATGGCGGCTCCTTCAAGCTCGTTTTCCAGATGATGTTTATTGCGTACTTATTAAGTGTCAGATCCTGTTCCTACAACAACCCTATAAGCCGAATCACCTGCAAAATGGAATTTGGAGACATGAACAAGAGAACACACAACTCTATTATCCAGGTTTTGCTCAAATCTCTGCAAAGTCTTCCCTGAACAAGGAGTTTAAAATTGCAATCCCTCTTCATCTGCCCCTGGTTCCTATTCTATGGTCTCCCCGTCCTCCTGCCCTGTTTTATTTGCCCATTGCACATCTCAGTGTGCAATCATACTGTTACTTATTTGTGCAGTTTATGTCTGCTTCTTCCAACTAGAATGTCAGTTGCATGAGGGTGGTGTTTTTTTAAAAAAAATCTGTTTCATTTGTTGTTTTATTCTTAGTACCTAGAAGTGCATTTGCTTATAGTTGGCAATCACAGTATGTTTGTTGAGTGAATACATAAAACTACATCTTCCTTATCTACTGAGTTATGTTTACTTCGCTTATGATTATGTTTACATTAGACATAAAATACATTCCAAGGTTAGAATAACGAGACAACAGAGTGCAGCAAGACACCAGCGTATGACAGGGGCTTTGTTGATATGGGATGACATTCATGACTACACATTTCTTAGGGTTCTTTGGTGGAAAGGACCTGATGCTGACCACATTCAACCAGAAAAGGACGGGAGGGCTTTGTTAGAAGGATAGGAGCATCTCACAGACCAAAGCCAGTTGAAAAAGTAGGCCCGGGAGAGCACCAGAGCAGTTCTGAGGATCTAGGAAGCAGGGACCCTCCCCACTTCTTCAAAGTGGTTGCATTTTGGCATGAATCACTACTGAGGTTGAGTCATGTTCCCCCTTTTGGGAAAATGAGGATGGTGCCTTTTGACTGAAAAGCCCACCAAGCTTGCATCTGGTGAGTGGTTTTCAAAACAAAATTAAGGTACTGGTATCCAAATAAAGGTGAGTGTGGATTCTGGTCAGGGAAAACAATAGATGCCCATGGCATTTCACATGTTAATTCCACTGGGCACCCCAATATGTGCAGGGGGCTTTGTGACTATAAAGGAGCCAGTTGACGCCCCTGATGTTTCGGGCTGTCCACGTTCCTTCCTCTCAGCCATTTAAGGCATCTGAATTGTAAGGGAACTGCTTCAGATTGCATAAAAGGGCATGAGTGTCCTGGCAGATCTCTGGCAGATCTCTGGACTCAGGAGTTCCAGGTTCCCTCTACTCTACTCAAAATCTGCTCTGGAAGTAAGTCCATCAGGCCCTGAAAGGGCAGTATCCACCAACCCACTAATGCATTCAGAGCAAGAACCACAAGCAGATAAATTGACTTGATTGATTAATCATTGTTTTAATCAGTACAGGTTAGGGTATGCCGCTGTAACAAACTTCAAAACTTGAGTCGCTTAATGCAACAATGGTTTATTTTTCACTCACAAAAGTCCTGTGGGGTTTCAGCCGCTTTCTGAGACAACTGTCTTCCCTGCAGTGACTTGATCTAAGTCACTCTCATTCTGCAGTTTTGTTATCTCTAGTGGTGGCTTTCTGACCACTGCTCTTTCCCTCTCTCCAAATGGAAATGCCATGTTTGTGTTCATAATCTATTGGGTAGAAGTAGTCACACGGCCTCATTCTAGCCACAAAGAAAGCTGAGAAATGCAGGGGAGCAGGTGGAATGTGTGATGAGCTCTACAATCCCTTCTATGATGACAGAAACACTCCCCAGCAACTAAAGCCGTGACAATGGAATGCTGGCCTTGTAGGAGGCAGTACTGAAAAGCCAACAGGATGCCTCTTAGCGAGGTCTGGTGATTAGAAACCCAGAGACTACTTTATATTCTGTACTTGCCTGAGATATACCACCAACTAAGCAGTCTGTTGAGGATACAGGACTGGATATGGGAGATGGGAAGTCAACATTGGTTAAATGACTTGTTCCATGCCAGGCATAATCAACATTCCTCATTACATCTTCAACATCCTCTTGAAAGCTGTGCTCATTTTACAAATGAGAAAACAGATTGAGAGAAATATAATGACTTGTATGAGGTCACATAGCTTCTGAGTGGCACGGAGTGGAAGGCTACCTGAATTCAAAGTCATGTTTTCACTATGCCATGAAGCTCATTAGAGCCATAACAAGCACTGAAAGAGTTTTCTCTTTATTAAGTGAAAATAATAATGATGATGTAAATAGTGATGAAGATGATGGTGGTGGTGTGGATGATGGTGGTGATGATGATGAAGATGACTGCAACTCCTAATTATCAATATTTTACTACAAGCTGAAAAAACTGTAATCTCATTAATCCTTCCAAACACCCTATTGGGTAGGTTCTATCATTATCCCCATTTCACAGAGGAAGAAACCGAGGCTCAGCTAGACAAAACAACACTTTTTCAATATCACCTACGTAGTAAATAGCAGAGTTCAGACTTGAACTCAAAGTTGTCTGATTTCAAAGCCACTCCACCATACTGAAAAGAGAACAATTCAATTGATTGTTTCATCCACATGCCTCCAATCACCCTGTTCAGCTAATCATTTTTCTTTTAACCAACCACTTCTTATTTTGGCATTTCTTAGATGTCTCTATGACTTGCATCTTTTTTTAAACCAATTTTAAATTCCTCTGAAAAAGGAATGACAACTTGCCCCACCAAAGATCCGGGAAAGAA